ACTTGACACCTCCTGAAGTATCTAGGACATATTCTTGGGGTTTCTGTGACAGAACAGTTATGGAACCTGTAGAAGAGCTAGTCCCCTTCAAGGGAGTGACAAAAGGAGGCTAAGTACAATACCCAAGGACAACTCAGGTCTTGATGCATACCAATGTAAGCGAAAAAAATTAAGTCAACCAATGTAATATTAGGCACCATTACTTAGAGGCTGTGAATGTGCTGGTTTTAGTTCCCCTAGGTCATAACTTTCCCTGTGCCTCAGTTCTCCATCTGAGACCTAACTTTAAACAATCTGGGTTTAAAACAGTACCTTATAAAGCAATAGAAACACTAAAAATAATCAGGTAGACACATCTGGGTGGGATCAAGGAATATATAAAGGTAGCTGGAGGAAGCGTATGATCTAAACAAAATTGTATGTCCCGAGCTATATAATACATTATACAAACGACTGATGGCAGATTTTGAGCTCTCAAGCATTTGGGTTTTTTGTCTGAACTCTCTGCTTTGTTTCCTAAAAACTACCATATATTTTCCCTTCTCTTTTCAAGATTCAGATTGTCTCTAACATTGTTTTTAATGGCACTACTTGCAGAGTGAAACAATTCAAAGAAATAAATGAGGCAGAACACTGGCTTGTAAGAAAAGAGACTCATTATGAAAGTTGTTCTTTTGCTCAGGGTGGATCTCAAAGCTTTCTGTAAAATGTGAGATTACTGCTCAAAATCCAAAGTTTCTAATAAAAAAATCTCCTACTGCTCAGTTCCTCAGTTTCTGTGAGGAATGCACATAAGTCACTTCTGAAACATAAGCTGATAATACTGAGGCTAAGGTAAACTTTAAAAGCACAGCACCATACATTTTGTGAAGATCCTTTGTAACTCTATAAAAATGCCATCAGAAAATTGTTCTGTTTGGCGGCTGTTTGAAGATATAGTCATTTTATCTAGGATACACAAGAAAACAGCTGGGTAAGCTGTCTTTATCAGACAAGACAGATAAAGGGATAGCACTTAAGGAAAGAGTGAAAAGAGTGAAAAAGGGGACTTTGTGACAAATTGATTTTCATCTCCAATTATGATTTTTTAGGAAATATATCTCTCACAAAGGATTCAAACAAGCCTCTTAATGGACGTAGCTATTGCCTTCTGGTAACTCTACTTTCATTTGTGCTTTCATTAGATGGTTTTAATACTAATGTAGCACATACAAAATTTTACAAATCTGCTTCTGTCAATGACATTTTAAGACTTGTATTGCAGCTCTCTCAAAATGCAAGTATGATAACTATGCTACAGTGTTCTCTGAAAGGCGTTTGAAGAAGGAAATCTATATGCTTGCTGGAAAAATATGGCATCTTATTAGACTAAGTTGTTAAATTTCTAACAAAGAAGTCTTCCAGATAGTAAATTTCTGCACTACACTGCAAAAAAAAAAAAAAAAAAAAAAAAAAAAAAAAAAAAAAAAAGAGATGAAGTAGAGATGAAGTTTCAGGTAACATGGGCTTTACCTCCCTGCCTCTGAACCATTTTGTTGAGTGAATTATGCCAAACCATCTGCACAGCTTTCAGCTCACACAAAAAAGAGGTGAAGAATTTCAGTAATGGTGCCAAAGAGAGGACTCTCATTTTCTTTTATATGCCACAGTGGATTTCAGAGTTATCCACAAACACACCCACATTTTTATTGTGTCTCTTAAACTCCTGTATCAGCACTATTAATGAAAAGAAGATTTAGTATATTAAAATGCAAATTAAATGAACTGTGGCAAAGAATTCCTGCAGTACTTCTATCATTACAAGTAATAATTAGCTTATGAGCCGAAGTAGTGGTTTACTAAAAATAAATAATGTTTAGATGGAGGGCTTTAATCTGACATCTGACATGTCATATTCCACTTCAAGTGTAAATGACTTCAGTTTCACTCTAATGATTTAGAAGCAGCATCCAGAGATCTTGAAAATAATAGATACACTCTTTCTGAAGCAGCAGTAGAGTTTTAAGCACAAAAATTTATCTAAAGCAGTATACAACAGATAACAAACCTGTGACAATTAGCAGTAGCTATGTGGAGTGCTAAGGTGCAATTTTCTCTTCCAAAGTGGGACACACAGCATGTTTCACTGGAATTAAGAAGCAGAAGGAGCCAAAATTGTTTCAACCCTTTGAACAAGATTTCAATGGTTGCAATATGGCTTCCATTTGATTAAGGTAAAAGAGGCAAATGAAGCTTTTTGACTCTACACAGGTGGGTTGGAAAAAATCATTAACCTTTTTCCACAGTTCTAGATGAGTCAGACGGGAGATACTGAAAACAGAATATCTGGGGTATTTTGACAATTTAATTGAGGTTTGCTTCAGGTTTTCAGTGGAGCAAGGGTTATTTGATTTAAATTGCTCTGTCTGGCATTACTTTTTTCAAAAAATGAGGTAATGCTTCCCTCAGGATTAAAAGGAAAATTGTATCATTCTCCTTCATCTGGTTCTTATCCAAAAATACTTTCACCTGTCCTGGGGAACAATTAAATGATTTTCTCACTTTTAGAATAGGCTCTTGTCCACAGTACTCTATGTGATTTTATTGTTTACCAACAAAAGCAATGTTATTTGGTAGTTCTTCCCTTAAGTAGTCTGTGACCAGAGGTGAATTACTTGTCAACATAAGTTTCTAAACATATTGTTTCACTTTAAAGGATAAAACACACATACTCTACTCGTCTATACAGACCAAGCAGGTCTGGAAGCTTCTTATATGAGAAAAATTGGATTTATCTATATGATTAGATTTTTTTGAAGTATCCTCTCTTGTAAGTGCTATAGTTCTTTAGTTCTGCTGGTTCCCTGCTGCTTGATTTTAAGTGGGGAAAGAAGTTTATTACATGGCAGAAGGCAAAGAGCAAAACCTTCATTTTAGTAACTCAGACATCGTCTCATTCTAGTCCAAAAGCATTTACAAAGTCAAGACAAAGCTTGTCTTCACATTTCACTTACCCTCCATGAAATTTAACCATTTTCATATAACAAGTATCTCAATAACTAGATATTGTGTTCATAAATTATTATGGAACAGACATAGTCATACTAAGAATGATTAATGAAGCTGAATTGTTTTCATGGAAGATAACACAGTGAACATGAATATTTCAGCCTTTTTGTCTGTCTTACAACTCATTCTATGGGCACCAATTCTTTTGGTAATTTGTGATTACTACTGAATTTTGGAACATTCTGTAGTGAGGAATTTAAAATCAAAGTTTCATTTTTTTCTCTTAGAAAGTGATGATACATCAAAAATTCATTCTTCTGTCTTCTCAGATATATCAGTGTCTGAAAGACATTGGTCTGGAATGCAATTTTAGATTGAAAGTAGAAAAACAATCACTTCTTACCCTTGCCTGGCATCTGAGAAGGCACCTATCCCAGGGATTAGAATAAGAACATTAAACATAAGAACTAGGTGTTCAAGCCCTGGGAGAAGACATTATTTATGTCACTCTGGATTAGTGCCCTAACTAATGCTCAAAAGCAGGTTTTGATCTTCCTCCAGAAGAAAATGAATCAAAACCATGTTGGTTTTGTACCCAGGTGACATTAGAGTTCTGTTTACAGCCCAATTTATTTCTGTGAATTAGTAAAAGTATTTAAAACACTTCATTTCACTGTCTGAGGATTTGTTTATTATCCTAAGACAAAATTGATTTCAACAATGCATTTGGTTAGGTAAAAATAAAATCCAAATCCTTGAATCCTCAGGCAGTAAAAAAAAAAAAAAAAAAATTGAGATGATTTTCAGATTAGTCACAAAAATCAGGCAGAAAACAAAAATCCAAATCTTTCATTTTGCCACACATTGGTTTTCTCTCTGATTTTTGAGGCTCCCAGTAATGTAAAAACACAATTTCACAGCAAGATTTAGCTCCTTTCTAATATCTCATGCATACATTCACACTAAGTTTTGCTTTACACCTCACTTCAATCTTACTGAAGAAATGCGTGAAATTTACTATGAGTTTACATTAGAAAACATTACTATATTTATGAGTGTCTCATTGAGATGAGGTGAGCACAAATCTGAGGATTTTGTTGCAATCAGTCTGACCTGGGCTCCCAGCATCCAGATAGACTGAGTGGAGGGTTTAGGAGCAAAGTCAAAATGAAGAAAAATGCCCTAATGGAAAAATCACTTATCAGAAAGCTCTGCCAAGGAATGCTCATAGTATGAGGCTTGATGAAGTTGTTGTCCACAAGTTATAAGTACAAACAACATCTATGAGCCAGAGATAGGAAACCCAGCAATGAAACAGAATCAGCACTTGGACAAAAAAATGTAAACACACTTAAATCCATGAAGAAAAAAGGCTGTTTAAAAGTGAAAAGACTACTATCCCTTTGAGATGTGGAGACAAGCTTTCTCTCAGCACCACAAGCAATTTTCAGGCAGAGCCAGCTGGCTTGACAGAGACTGCCTTCATCACTGTGTAGGCTGCTGCGTGGAAAAGCCTGCCCTGACAGCAAGAGAATGAGGTACTGATTTTATTTTCAAAGTCTACCAGATTGTAGCCTTCTTTAGCTACATCTGGACCCATCATAAAGCAAATGGGAACCCTACCAGGTTCTTGGGGCTGGGATTCTATTCCTCATCAGTAACAGGAAAATATTGTTACAAGTATTATTGTTATGTTATTACTATCATGCTGTACAAGCAAGGAAACAGTGCAAATATTTTAAGTTACCGCTGACCGTAGACTAGTATGTGTTTGAGGAAGGCAGTGGAAGAGGGTTCTACTAATTCTTTTAGAATATATGGTTTCTCGTTTGACATAGTCCAGTCCTTTAAATTGTAGCGCTGACTACAGCTGTAAAAAAGAGATGAGCGTTTAAAAGAGCAAGGCATTCATGCTTTGTGAAAGGGCAATGAGCACAAGAAGCATCTGTGTAAAATCTGTGTCTACAAAGAGTACTGAGATTTGGAAATGATGTGGTGTGATAGATACTCACGTATAAATAAAGATCATATGTCACAGAGATGCACATGATGAATTGCATTATGACTTTCTCAGTATTTCATGCAGATTCTGATAATCAACTTCTCCCTCCATCACTTCCTTTCACATTCCAAAAGCAGATCTTCACTGAAAAACACCACAGAAAAATATGCTTAATTTTTGCCAGGAATCTGTAGAAAAATCCACTTTCTTCTGGACTAGAGCCTGGGATTTCCTTGCAAATGAGAACATTCAGCTCTCTAGAACTTAGATGCACAAAGTTTGAGAATACTTTTTTATTTCTTTATTTATCTAATGTCTTTTACCTAGACTATCTCAGGACTTTATTATAAAGCTTTTTAATGTAGTGGTTACTGCTTTCTTGATATAGAAAAATAATCCCATTAACTAAAGCAGGTTCCTCATGCAGTAGACTGTAGTTTCTAATTCATTTTATTTCCCACCTAAAATATTAACAATCTACAAAAACTTAAACATATGAATCCCTTCTGAGCTTGCTATGCAGCATTCATAGACTCAGAAGCAACCCCATTCTTCTGCACATTCTGCATTTACTATTATTATTATTATTATTCAGTCATTAAATAATTAGGGCTCACCTAGGTGTTATGAATGAAAATCTTTCCCTTGTAGCAGTGCATGAGCATGGGAGGTGGCTTTAACTATTTTTGTGAAGAAACTTCAAGTTCAGTTGTGCACGAGAAACCAGTACATGTACAAAAAGCTTCTTCTCCACAGGACAAGGGTATCCCTTCCATTACTGAGCTGTGAGAGCCCAGCACACAGCACTGCAGGGCTTGTGCTCCAAACAGGAGAGGGAGTAAAGAGGAACAGAAGTGAAGGGGAGGAACAGAAGTGAGGGGAATAAAAAGATTCATCCTGGTCAGGATGCCAAAACTGTCCCACACTATGGGACAGTAGGAGCTCAGGATTAATGCCAGAAGAAAAGGGGAATTGGATGAGAAGAAAAAACCTCCAATTGCTCCTTCAGGTGAGGCTTGTACACCCTGTGTACAACTAGAGTAGCAGAAGGGGATTTAACTTCAGCTGAGAGTCTGATCATTAGGATCTCAGAAATAAATAACATATTCAAACAAAGAAAAAAAATGTTCCTTAGCTGTTTACCTCACTGTATTTTCCTTTTCTTTCCCAAAAAAAGGGTTCACCTGTTTTCACGTAAATAACTGGAACCACTGTTGAAAACCAGAAGGAATAATATGCAGCATGAGAATATATGTCCTAGCCTTCTGATGTACATGGAAATAATAACATAACAAAGACATAATCAATAATTCAACAAGGAGCAGAAAGTGAAGAGGGGGAATAAAATGTCTGAATTTATGCAAAAAATTTTGATAACCAGCATCAGATATGTCTGATGCAGATGTGGCTAGCTATTTAATGACAAGTTAATGGGATTTACAAGATATCCTGTAAATCTCTATACCATTGAGCAGGCAAACTGCCACAGATTCCGTCTCAGATTAACAGAGGTCAAAGCATTTTACATGCCTTTGACCCTGTTTATAATTTCACAGGGAAAAAATAAAAAGGAAAAATAAAACAATAATGAAAACTCTTTCCCCAATGTGGAGTTTTCAAACAGTGATAAAGTTAGCAGGAACATACTTTCTGTACAATAAAAATTATAAATAGAGCTCCTATTTTTGAGTCTTGACTTTACCATTAGCCTCCCATTCTTATATTGCATTTTGATTTCATCTGTTTTTTAAACTTGAAAATCTCATCTGGGCAGATCCGGAAAGAATTGTTAAACACATTAAATGTTACAACCATTTAAAGAGCATGAATATAATTGTCTGGGTTTATTTTGCTAAAATTATGTTTAAAGAATATCTTTACTCAGTCTGCTATGAGGTCTCTCTATTATACCTGCTACAGTTAATAACACTGTTGAGGCTAGATAAAAAACAGAACACTAACCAAAATTGTCAAGAAATAAGAAGGAACAATTGAATCACTATGGCTTTCTATACTTAAGTACTGATTTCATCTAAAGTGGACATATTTAAAATAGTCAAAACTGTTTTAGCTATTCAAAGTACTGGCCAAGCCTTATTTTGTAAATGTAGAAAATATTCCTAGATAAACTCTTTCATCTGTTTAAAGAAGAGAACTGTAAATGTCATTTATTCGTTTGGTCTCAATCAGTACATAGACTGGCAAAGAAGTACATAAACATAAAAGTATATTAACATACATCCAAGTGAATCACTTGTAATTGGCTGAAAATTAGTTGTTCACAGTCATTTCATGGGGAAGTAGTATTTATAGAAGCTAAAGGACGTGGACGTGGGGTTAGGAGTGACTTGATTGCTACATGTATGAAAAAGTCCTGGCAATTGTGGTTGTAGAGTATCCACTAAAATACTCTGGAATTAACCTATGGAGTTTAAGAAATTATTTTCAACAGTAACCGTAGCTTGAAAAACCACACCCAAAATATTTGAGTAGAAGAGATAAAAAGTGAATGAAACTATGGATACAGAGTTCTAGGACAGTTGATAAACTGCAGGTTTGGGAATTTTGGTCGTGATTTAGTAACACCATTCTGGTGGGAATTGTATTCAATTGTTTGAATGTGGCAGCTGCTTGTAAAGTCCCAATCAATTAATGAATTAGTTTTCATAAAGGGTTGATGAGCTACTAATGAAGATTTTTTGTAATTTGCTATTTGTATTACAGTACATGTTTTGGGGAGTGGGTTCTTTTCAGGATTTATATGGAGACCAAAGCTGTAATGAGTTCTTAAAGAAAAAAATGAAGCCTTTGATTTTTTGGGGGTGGGAGAGGATTTAGCAGATGATAAATGAGCCTCTAGAATTTAAAGCATTTAAAATCTTTTCCTGTCATCTTTGAATCAGCTGGAGAATTATGTTCCTTTGGCTCAACACATGGACCTTAGATTTAAAAATAACCATATTCCTTCCTGAGTGAGGCAGTGAGCAGGATAAAAGCCAGATGTACTGGTTGTCTGAGATATTTAACATTCTTTTTTTTCTTGACACATTCTCACAAAGCAAGTAAGTGTGTGGTTCATGTTGTGAAAGCTGTGGTTAGAGCCTGATTCTGGCCAGGAGGGTGAGAGAATTTCTGTTTCCAATATCCCCCATGCAGCAGAGCAACATGCTTTCTCACATACCTGGCAAGTATTTGGAATGAGTGCTCTTAGCAGCTACTTGTCACAGAATCACTAGTACAAGGAAAGTGCCGTGGAGAAAGGAAGTAACTGGGTTTGAGGGTCACTAGACTCTGCTTATTCATCAAATTAGGGGATTTTCATAGAGATAAGTCACTTTTGATTAAATTCTCAAAATTTCTCTGATTTCCTGCCAATTCACCTTTGTTGAGACTGCTTTCTGGCAGCTGGTCCACCAGATTTCCACCCTTTCAGGAGCCACAGCTCCTTGAGAGCTCAGCAGTAATTTATTCACTTACCGAAGGAATCCAAAATCTTCAGTTTTCCAGACAGATAAGTCTGAAACAGAAAGCAAAAATAAAACAAAATGTTTCTGATAAAGAAATTAATTTTTAAAGTTCTACTCTATTCCCAGTTCCATGCCTACTAATTTTTTATCTGCTAAGCTTTTTATTTCAGTGCATTGGTCTCTTTTTCCTTTTACTAAATTTTTGCACCAAAGGGGGAAGCAAACACAATATTTCATTGCATGGTTTTTAATATTTTGCATGGAAATGAGATTTTTAAATGCAATTCTACAAATTAGGAGTATTATTTAGTTCTTAGAAGAACTTATAATTCAGAGACTCAATTCCTATCACAGTCATCTGGGATTTAAAGTCTTTTCAAGACCTGGAAGTCAGAGACTCAAATGCTTGTATCCAATTAGGAAGGCCGTAGGTGTAAAGAGCAATAGTATGTGTGTGCTTTCATCGTCGGCTCAGGGAACATAATCAAGTCATCCTCCATTTCAGTCAAAGGTGTATCGCAGTGAAGAAATTAAATCAAGATTTTAGGTCTGAAAACACAAAGCAGTATGATCAGTTGAGATGATCTTTCTATGTGCTGCTGTGTGTACTTGGAAGCAGATATTTGTGCCCTTCTCCCAGTTTATGTCCTTTGTCAAAAGTGCGTGTTCTTTGAAAATGCATAAGCCATCCTCACAGAAAACAGAATTCAGATTCTCCTTCTCCTTGGTGTGTGCCCTAAACGCAAACCAAGAACATTTTATTCTCTATTTCTGATGTTCAGTTTTCAGTGTTGGGGCAGAGGTGAGTCTGTATGCTGGGGTAGCTTCAAAAGAACAATTCTTGGTTCATTTATGATAAAGAACATTAACTAATCCATTTCTTGTTGTTTTACAGCATTATTGTGGAAGCTGAAGAAATACAACTTTCTGTCTTCTAAATTTTGATGGGAAAACAGAGCTTTGCTACTCTGGAGCCTGTGCAAATTTCTAGAATCAATTCTCAGAAAGATGTATCAGTATTAACACCATTTTAAAGCAAAAGCTACTAACAAGTTTAAGGTTTCTCCTTACAGAGTTTTGTCTGTAAATTCAGAAACTGATCAAAAATTTGTTCATAAAGTACCTATAATATCAAGTTGCTATAAAGACAAATGCATGTCTATTTCACTTTAAAGCACAAGCTACACCACCTGTCTCTGCTGCCATAGTTAATGTGCTTCTGTGTAAGAAACCAAAGGAAATGAAAATAGGTCTTTCTTTTACTTCCCAATTAAAAAATAGCGGGTATAGGAAACAGGATCCTCCAGCAATAGACAGCAAGTATGCAGAGGGCTTTGACCCTTAAACACCATTTCAGCCCTATTATATGCAACTGTCCAGTTTTTGGCTGCTGTTAGCTATGGATACTTGAGAAACTGAATCTTATTTAATTGTGTTGTGGTATTGTCCTGCTGTATTCAAATACTGTCTAATTTAGTACTTCATGAGTTCTTATTGGAATGCATATCTTCTACTGGAGTGAAAGTAAATATTTTCATCATGATACTTATTTTTATTAACATTTCTATGTTACTATTGCTACAATTTTTACCACATTCTTTCTTGCTTTGAAATTACAGCAAATGAAACTTTATTTTGAAACTGCCTAGAGCTGATGTATTTATTAATCTC